CCATCTCAGGTGTCTCAGTAAAAGTATGCAGTCCACTGCATACATCCCACTTCGGCGCAACACTTCCGTGTTTGCAACTCTGGCGCCCAAACCAATACGCAAAATTCGTCGCAGACACTACTGATGGAACCGCTAGAGATATCGCACATCCCGACGGTACATCGTCTACGTTTCACTGCCGTATAGAAGAACGGACAGCACAATGGATTTGTACACCATCAGCTTTGTGCCAATGCTAAGCTGATGCTTGTTCCACACTCGGTACTCAAGCTTCCCAAATGCCGCTGCTGCCTTCGACACGCGGATACGCAGCTCACTGTGTAGCTGCTGATCAGTCGACATCACACTCCCAAGGTAGCTGAAACGGGAGGTGGTTTACAATACTTCAGCATCAATGCTGATTCGCGGCAATATTGAAGATTGCACCTCCGGTGAAGGCTGAAAGAGACAGACAGTTTTGCTTGTGTTGATGGTGAGCCCGAATTTGGCCGCTGTCGAAGCCAGAGCACTAGTCATGTGCTGCAACTCATCCGCGCTGTGTGAAAACAACGCACAGTCGTCAGCAAACAGCAACATACGGATAGTTGCTTACAGACTAGACTTCTCGCACCGAAACGACAGATATTCAGCAACCCACCATCAATACGGTGCTCCACACGAACACCGTAAGCACAAGCGCCATCAAAAGCACAAGACGTGATTGCATGAAGATGGATAGTAAACAGGACAGGAGCTTAGACGCAGTCTTGGTTCACACAAGTGACAACTGCAAAGTCATCCGAAGTCTCTCCACTCAGCTGCACCCTCGCTCGCATACCACTGTGCAGACATTCAATTAAACTTACAAACTTACGCGGGCAACCAAACTTACCCAACACCAGCCACAATGCCTCGCGATTCACCGTATCAAATGCGTCGGTGAAATCAACAAAAAGCGAGTACAATGGCTGGTGTCGTTCTCTGCACTTCCCTTGCAACTGACGAGCCGCAAAATCCATATCTATAGTGCTGCGACCCAAACGGAATCCACATTGCTCTTCCGCCACGTTAGATTCCACAACCTGACTGACGAGGCGGTTGAACAGGATTCGGGCAATCACCTTGCCTACACAACTCAGCAAGTTGATGCCACGATAATTCGTGCAACACTGCTTGCTACCTTTGCCCTTGTACAGTGGTAGCACAAGGGCATCCTTCAGCTCAGGAGGCACCTCCTCCTCAATCCATACATGTTGCACCAAGTGGTGCAGCGCAGTCAACAACGCGGGTCCACCGTGTTTCAATACTTCAGGCGGGATATCGTCGGCTCCGGCACATTTGCAGTTTCGCAGCTGAGTAAGTGCTCTCTGTGTCTTATCCAGTGTCGGCGTATCCGCCAGATCCGCCTTCACATCGTGCTGCTTCAGGCAGTTCAATGTAAGCCAGTCGATCTCAGAACGGTTGTTCAAGAGACAGTCAAAGTGTTTATGCCAGAGCTGCATTATGTCTGCAGCCTGTGTGCAGGTAGCGTCTGAACTGCCATCGATCATTGTCCTCAGAGGCTCCAATCACGGTCCATACACCGCCTTGAAAAAGTCAAAGAATTCCTTGTGTTGACGGCGTTCGGCGTAGCATTCCATCTGCTTCGCCTTCTCCGTCCACCATGCATTTTTAATGCGACGGAGCTCTCGGGTCAGTCGCCGTCGAAGTTTGCGAAACTGACGATTCTTCCCCAAGTCATTAAGGTCTGCAACATGTGCAGCAAATGCTGCATTCTTCTCCGACACCAATGCGCCAATCGTCGCATTGTTGTCATCAAACCAATCAGGCCGCTTACAGTTTGTGCGCCCGATGGTCTCCTCGCAGCAGCTGTCACCTGGTCACGAATGTGGTGCCACAGGTCGCCAACTGTGGCTATGCATTCCACATCATACAGGTGTGCAGCAATCGCCTTCTCCAGCTCAGTCCGTTTCGCCACAGTACCGAGGGAGAGAATGTTAAATTTACGCCGATTCACGGCGGGACTGCAATACATTGATTTACGAAAATATATGTACAGTTTGGTCCGCACCAACTTGTGATCAGTACCACACTCAGCTCCACGCAGTACACATGTCATGCGCACTTCACGCACATCACGCTGACGTAGGATGACATAGTCGAGCAGGTGAGCATGAAAACTCACACTCAGTGCAAACCGAGTGTTCGTGATCGTCAGGCCGTGAGTGGCACACAGTGGGAGCAGCCTGTCACCGTTCGCATTCGCTGAATCAATGCCATGCGAACCGATAACATCTGTCCACGCTGATGCATCACGCCCAACGCGCGCGTTGAAATCACCCAGCAGAAATAGTCGGTCGCTCCTCGGCACAGACCGTATCACGGAGGATAGCTCAGGGTAGAACTGATCACGCGTGTCATCAGGATAACACATGGTCGGACCGTACGTGCTTACAAAAGTGGCAAACTTACCTCTTCCGAGTCGTAGGAGAACAGTCATCAGTCACGCGCTGATGCCTGTTGGTTCACCCACCAGCTGGCCATGGAGGCCATCAGATATTGTAAATCCAACTCCATGATCACGTGATGCTGAGACGGCGTTGCCCACTCAGTAGAATGTGTAGCTAGCACCTGCTTCATGCTATTTACCTTGCTGAGCGAGCCGGGTTTCACTGAGCGCCGCAATATCGATGTTGTAGCGAGCGAGTTCCATCGAGATCAGCGTAGTGCGTCGCTCCGGGGGCTCGCTGGAGCTCCGGTCCAGTAATGTGCGCACGTTCCAGCAACCGATGCTGAATGCTTTACGCGCAGGCATTCGATTGCATTGGTGGGCAATCGCACGCGAGGTGGTCGTTGTGATTCGGAGGTTTGCTTGAGGGACTCCACCGAGAGCCTTTGGCTTAATAGCCTTACCCACAAGGCAGTGGGTGGTTTGGAGGTTTGCTTGAGGGACTCCGCCCGGAACAATTGGCTCAATAGTCTGACCCACAAGGCAGTGGGTGATTTGGAGGCTTGCTTGAGGGACTCCGCCCGAAGCCTTTGGCTCCATAGTCTGACGCACAAGGCAGTGGGGAGCAGATCCAGCTCCGGAATGTGAATGCAGAGACAGATGGGGATCTGCTTGACGGCCGTCACACGCAGTCTTTGAGGTTCTGGAACTATTATCATATGTTTTGCGACCGTAATTGGATACGCACTTGCGACCATGGCCAGACGCAGGTGGGTTTTGGCGGGTTGGCACCAATTTAACCAGGGGCTGCCTGGCTTGAGGGGAACAAACCAGTGAACACCCGGAGCTGTCCTCCCACCGTCAGAGACAATGCGTGGCGCTCGTGCTCTACGCCAATCGAGCTGTGAGCTTATAACCCGTAGACATGTTGTCTCCCATGGCTAGGTTTTATGGGAAGTGGGCCATCGACCACTTCCTAACCTCCGAAGAGGATGGACTAGGATACTGCCAGGGCGCCCACACCTGACAAGAGAACGACTCGGGTCCTCAGCCAAAGCCTTCGATTAAATATACACCCGAAAGGCAGCGGGTCTAGCACATGGTCAGTTAGCCGACTCATGCGGATTGGTGTCCAGGATCTTAGCAGGGTGAAGGGCGAAATCCAAATTTCACCCAGCGGTCGCTACGAGAAGGCGCCCAGGACATGAGCAAATGGCACAACAGTAGCAGCAGTGGGTAGACCATCTGTCAGGATTAAGCCACCACCAGCCTCACCGCACCATATATATATATATATATATATATATATATATATATATATATATATATATATGGTAGGCGGCATCCGGTTTCGGATTTGCCTGTAACTGTGGCCAGCCACAGGACGCCTGCGCCTACAGAGGGACCATGCGTGGTTTGCGCAGCACCATCCAGAGCTCCAACCACACACCCCATATCCAGTGTAAACCCGAAGGAATAAGACCCGGAGGCATGGGGATGGGAGCCACGTTTCATGAACAAAGCCGGTCCACAATCCTTCACAGGCAAACACAAGCACGCTGTATTTGGGAATCAATCGCACACAAGGCGGTCGCTGGACCGTAGTACGATCAACACTGAGTGCATGGAAGCGCTCTTTGAGCCTAGCACGGCCACAAGGACCGTGCACCCCGTCCCCTCCAGCAACGACCAACTGTCTCCTGGAGCCAGTATGGACGAGGTAGTGGGTAATAGACAGGTAGGAACCTTGTCAACATGCACATCAAGCGCAGCCACACCGGGGATATCAAACAACAGCCATTCACTTTAAACGGCAAGCTAAAATAAAATAAATTCAATAATGCATACAGATACGGTGACATAACTCTTCCCTAAATTACCATATGAAGTAAGTTGGTTAGCAACGAATCCGCGATAAGTAAGAAATGTCCACAAGTTACTTAAAATGCTACAAACACAACAAAATTACAGAAGGTTAGTCCAATTAGCATAAGCAACGTGGCCAGTTCATAGAACATTATTCAAGTAGGCAGAACAAACCAAATAAAGTGGAATGAAATTTATCCAGCTTAAAAAGACCTAGTTAAAGTGTAAGTTGGTTTAGCCCAACTGCGGGGAAGAAGCATCAAGAATGCAACATCAGCCTCAGCATGGGGCATATATATATATATAAATATATATATAAATATATATATATATATATATATATGCACAAGTCTGAATACCGACAACGTAACTTGTGAAGAAGATTTCCTTGCCCCTCGGTGCTCAGATGGCGAGTAATAAAATGAGGCGAACGAGAGACAGCGGTCGGTGAAAAGGAATCTGAATAGGCTTGTGGAAGGAGTAATAACTGTTGCAGCGTGGAGTACTGATATTTGATTGGCACAGAGATGTGGAGTTTGAGTAGATGGTAGCTATTTGGGGTTATTTTGAGTTTGAATGTAAGGTCAAACAGACGGTGTGTGCTGGTAGTGGAAGAGAAAATAAGTATGAAACAAAAGTATTGATAGAGGTCGATAGTCGGGGAGCCTAGAATGGTACTTGCTAACCACAACTAAGCATCACTTACCGCATATTCTCAGTTGGCTCACATCGAGCGATGTGTTTTGCGTAACATCTACTGATGACGAAACCGCAGACAACGAATCCTCGACCCTGGAATCGCTGGCTAATGGGCCACCAATCGGTGTCAGGTTACTCTTACTGAACTCATCTGCCACATCGATCGGTTGCTTCACTGTAGCCACAAACGACAGTGAATCCAGTTTTCTGCACTGGAACAAAATATAAAGGTGTATGAGTAACGTTGTTCAGGGATGCAGTCAAATGATGTTCGTAACCTCAGTAGAAGCGAACAGAACTCCAATCACGTGGATGTAGAGAAAGAGAAATCAGTGTACTTGCGAGTAACTGAGGCAAGGAAGAAAATGACGCAATAGGTCACTACAATGATCTGTAACAATGTCGGACAAAATCACATACAACGATGTGAGCGACTCAGCTTGCAGCCAATCGATTGTGATGGTATATAACATTAGTTCGGATAACTCTAGTGGCAATACTCCCCAATGGATGGTTTGGGAAGCCTCAGACAATAGGGAAAAAGGAGGGATGAAGTAAAAGTCCAAACGCCTTAAGCAAAAACGCAGGCAGCACCGCTTTCGCCACCTCCACTTTCTGGGTTCTCACAGTTCACCATGCATCCTCATCAGATCCCAGACACCGTTCTCTAGATCGCGCCTATTACTTCGTCTGGTTAGATTGTTCTCGATACAAGCAAGGAGTTTACTTTCGAATTTCAACAGGTCCACCGAAGTTTTGAAAAGCCACGATTATGTATGTGTGTCGAAATACTATTCCACTGAAACTAGTTGTCTGTGAGGTAATAAGGTGAAATCCTGGTATCCATGGCATCCTGGTAGGCCTGTCTGACTTCTCAGTTGCCGATCGAGAACGATGTCGCTACACCGAACAGTAAGGTGCATAGAAAATTGATAGCGTATTAAAACATGATCAGAGGCGAAGCACATGTTTCAGAATAAACGGTAGTCACTCATGGCACTAAGCCACTGGAAACTTAACGTAGTTTATTTGGGTCCATCGTTGGATACCAAGTGGCAGGTCAGCACTTACTGTATCAGAAAGCCGTGCTGCTAAGAAACAGCCAGTACTCATCGTGCAGTCGTCAGATACGTTTGCCTTCTCCATCCTTTCGGCGTTAAGCCCAAACTTAGAGATGCAGCGAAGCGTTTGAGGAGCGCAGGTAATATGTTACCGAATGCACACCCCCTGGAACTACAACAAAAACTAAACTGGTTAAGCTGCAAAACAAGAGACAAGCTCTTGGAATAAAGTATCTTTGGCAGCATAAGGACTGGACTTTGTGAGGAAACAAAAGGCAACCCAAGAAAACAGCGCCTAGTGGTTCCTCCTGCGCCAACCTTAGCTGATTTCGTCAAACGGGCTGCATACAAACAGCTGCTCACGGGATTCCAATAAAGTAGCGATGATACATTCCTGGAACTGGAAACGATGCCCATGCAAGCTTGACCAGTGATTAGGGCAAGTGTATTAGTGTGTGCAAACCAACAGTGAAGAGAAAAGCTGAATAACTGATTCTAGGTTCAAAAACGTAGTAAGCGTTAACAGTCAGGGTGTCCAATTTGCTTGCGAGTGCATCCTGTGGACGTGACTGACCAAGGCCAAAGAGAAATATGAGTATGGTGTGAGTCCAGTGCGTGTTACGGGAATATAGTTGCATAAGGTGGGATTCTTATGGTGTTGCAACTGCAGTCAGTTAAAATGGGAACGGTGGAGGGAATGTTAGCGATATAGGTCATATAGGTAATAAAAAAGGAGGTAAAAAAAGAAGAGAGACATCAGCAGCGGCATGTTATCGCTTATCCGCCGTCGAACGCAACAACAACGACGACTCTCCTGAAAGCGCGCGACGGCAGATCTAGTAAGCCGTCGAAAGTTGAAGACAAGTAAACTTATTTATGATTGTAAGTGAACCAAGACACTGCCAGGGGGACCAAACCTCGACAGAAAAAACCGATTAGGATAAACATTCAAAGCCGTTGCTTAAAAAGGTATTCGAGAGGGAGGTAGAGACGACCCAGTTTTATGGAGCAGCACAACATACAATTTCCAAAATAACACAGAGGAATGGAAGAATGAGTTCGTCTGAACTGTAGCCAAATAAGAAGTTGGTATGAGTAGGTGCACAAGAGATACGTAAGTATCACCTTGTATAACACAACATGAAGGAAAGACTTGCAAACCGCTGCAATACTTCAAGGGAAAGTCTCATCACGGTGACACGAAACTTAACACGTAAATTATGCCCACTAACGGATAAAACATAAGATAAATGCGAAGAACTTTCCCTTCGACAAGTCTCTTCAGGCACATACATTGACAAATCAAGTGGTCATTGGAATAACAAGACATTTCTAGCTTTGCAAAATAAAGCCGGAGTGGGTCTGTGGACTGACGTAGCTGTGAAGACAGCTACCTCGGGCGCACTAACCGTAGTCTAGGTGTGGTTACGCAGCCGCATGGGATCTGTGACGACGGAATCCGTTCATCCGGGAAACCGAGCTACCTCAGCAGTCACTAGGCACTTCCTGACTAACGGTCACCGAGTCAATCCTGATGAGTCGTTCACAGTCCTTGTCACGTACGCACTTGAGTACCGATTCGTAAACGCAGGCCCTCATATGATTGGCTGAGAATGACATTGCCCATGCTTTACTTGCCTTATTTCATCCTTTTCATTCCTTTCCGGCTTTTCTAGCCACTGAAACGCGGGGTGTCTTTATTAAAAAACGGTTCCATACTAGGCGTGCGCGTTCTGTTCCGTTCATTGGCTAAGGGCCATACTTAACAGTCCTAATGCGCGATCAGCGGCCTCAAATGCTTAGGCTATTAGAAGCTATCGTTACCGATCGCAAACGACCACCGCTGTGCATTCAAAAAACAGTTGACACTGGCTCCAAGACTACCGTGGTAGCCTAAGAGCTTTGGTACCTATGATCACCGTATATGTTCCAATGTCGCAGGTTTTCGTGACTGATTAGAATGCACGAAATGACACGATCTGTATCTTCGGATTGTTATATTTGAAATCATAAAGGGAAATGCATGCTGTAACTTTCTCAAACGAAGACTGCCTGCCTCACTTGTGAAAATATTACAGCGTTTGGTTAGTCGTAGACGCAAGCTGGCTTTCGAACGCGTGCGACTGGAATTTTTGAGTCGGTGCATCAATGATAATTGCTACCCACGTGAATCTCGAAAGCGCTTACGAAATAGCAAGAATTGCCCGACTGTGTCAAACTCTAAGCGACTGAGTTTGAGTCATAAGGAATCTTGTTAAAGCAGGACCAACAAGCTCAGAGAGATAGCCCAAGATTATCTATCTTTGTGTAATTTTTTGACGCTAGTGCGTCGAATCAATTCATGAACTTCTACCATGATGTTGTCAAAAAGACGACTGTTTTTACCACACTCAAGTTTGAGCGTACCATTTCTGCTAAACGACAAAAGGGAGAATTTTCAGTTGACTGTTTAAAAGTTAGCCATAACATGTCATCATTGTCCCTCGACCAGTTGCAAAACAAAGCCTTATCCTTCGGATTAGGAGTTAAGTCACTACTTGTTGGATTCACACAAAGAAACCACTGATACCAGTTTTGAGAATCTCTACAGCCAACTGGAATCTTTGACTCCAACATCTTCCAACAATGATGTTTAGTTAAATAACAAACTGGTAGACATATCCTATTATTTGAACAATGAACAATGATTTATAACGGGTAAAAAAGCATATGCTTGACAGGTCCCGTAGGGTGGTTGGAGCAATAGATAAAATGGAAGGATAATCGAACAAGTAAATCGTTTTTTAAGCCTCTACAGATTTCAACGCACCACTTCATAATGATAGTTTGAAGTATGGACTGGATGTCTGCACCCGAAGTAGGGCTGTTATATTACAGCACATGTGGGAAAAAGAAATCAAAGGAACGGATAACGCTCACTCGTGTGTTGCTTCCGTTGAGAGATGTGGTACGTTATTCCAGTTTGTATACATCCATGTCGCTCATTGGGACACTTCTGTATGTAACATCACCGCCACTTTGCGGGGAGGGTCAGTAACCTCATGGTTTGGGTCTCGTTATTTCGTCCTCCGAATAGGACGTGTTATGCCAAATAATGCAAGTTGGAAAGTGTGTCATCTAGGCGTTTTTTAAATAGTGCCAATGTGGGGGCAAGGACGACGTGAGTGGGGAGCGCATTCCAAGCACGGGACACACGGAGTGAGAAACAGTTTCGTCGACAATCAAGTCGGCTGTAGTGTGTGGCCAGTTTGAGCTGATGACCTCCCAGGTTGGTATTTTGGCTCAGTTGCAAGAGACTGCGAAATGGGTGATTTGGATTCATCAGTATTAAGTAGACCATGATGAGGTCTCCTCGGTGACGACGATATTCACCACTGTACAATCCCAGAGACTGCAGTCTGCGTTGGTAGGGGATGTGAAACAGGCCTCTGACGAGCTTCGTTGCTCTACACTGTGGAGCTTCAAGTGCACTGATGTCGCGCTTGCGCCAGGGACGCCAGGCCTGGATCGCATACGCCACGTGGGGTCTCACGTAAGCGCTCAGCATTTGCGGAAATACAGATGGCTCGAAATTTTCGAAAGCCCTCCGTAAGAGTCCGAGATGTTGACTGGCTCTTTTCGATGCCTTTTCAGCTTGTCTGGAGCAGCCAAGGTCGTCCTGCACGATCACTCCGAGGTCGCATTCCTGGGAAGCATGTTGCAACGGCTGGTCCCCGAGTAAGTATTCATGGATGAGTTGGTGGCGTAAGCTCACGACTTTGCACTTGGTGACATTGAAGTGGAGCATGTTTTCGGATGACCAAGTGTACGCCCTGTCCAGATCGCTCTGCAGTGTTGTGTGATCGTCCTCTGTCCGGATGTCATGCCAAATTCTGACATCATCTGCAAACAGCAAGAAGTTCGACTGTAGTACACTGGCAAGGTCGTTAATGAATGTTAAAAATAAACGTGGCCCCAGTACTGACCCTTGAGGCACACCGCACTGGACGTCAATTGGGTCGGACATGGAGCTGCGGACTCTCATGTTCAGCTGATGTTGAGCGAGAAAGTTGGCGATCTAACCAAGCACAGGGTCACCGATTACGTAGCCTCGAAGCTTGTGTAGGAGGATGCGGTGGTCCAAACGATCGAACGCCTTCGAGAAGTCCAGG